TATATTTATATATTTTATGTTTTTAATGTTTGTTGTGAATCGCCCAGAATTCCCCCATTGAGGGGAGATGGGCAGTTGAAAAATTTAATTAATAAAGAAATAATAAAATAAATAAAAGGGAGTTCTACGCAGACTACCTTGAGTCCCTGAAGGGAAGGTCGCATATGGTGACCTAGTACCTCAACATGGTTTGTTAATGGTTCTCACAACACAACACGCAAAAGCAGTGGCTTAAATGCAATGTGGGAACCCAGCCAGGACACTGAAGGTGGGGCGGGGGGGGAGAAATAAACAGGGAAACAAGAGTTAATTGGTGCAGAAATGTGATTGTGGCAGAAGGAGGACGGAACGTAACTTTGATGGCTTGAAGAAGGGGGTGGCTGGGCGAGAGTGCCCTCCAAATGTGCCACTTCTGGCCTTCTAGGGTGTGTGTGTGTGCAGAAGTTTAAGGGGAGAGCCCTTTGCAAGGATGACAGTGCCCACTGAATGCCTTTCACAGCCCTAACAAGGGGTCACTTGTCCATTTTGGCTTGCTCTGGGGCCATGAGAAGGACGCTGGAAGGCCCCATGCCTGCAGGTTGTAGATTTTGCACCCTGGGAGCACGGCTGGGAATCGAGGGGACACCAGAGATGACGTGGGTTTCAAGAGCTGAGTGGGGGGAGCCCTGCGATCTTAGGGGCAGGGAGGGAGGAAGGGCCAACTTTGAATGAAGAGCCACCAGGAGCTTTCTCCCCTTGAACTGTTTTCCCTAGACATCCCACTCTGCGCAGGCTGCAACCAACCCATCGTGGACCGTTTCATCCTGAAGGTGCTGGACCGGCACTGGCACAGCAAATGCCTCCGATGCCACGACTGCCAGGTGCAACTGGCGGAGAAGTGCTTCAGCCGCGGGGAGAGCGTCTACTGCAAGGAGGACTTCTTTAAGTGAGTGGACCGAGGCCAGCCTGGGGGTCGGGGCCAGGCGTGGCATTCTGTCTTCAGCCCCTTTCCCTAACCTGGGACTACACCTCCCTCCAGCCCCAGCCAGCAGGAGGAATGGTGGTCCTGTTCTCTCTGAAACACCGGAAGAGCCAAATTGGGTCAGGTCTCCCCTGATAAGAGCACGAGCTGCAGATGCTTCACAAGAACATCAGCTCACAGGTCTCCTTCCAGTGGGTTGACCTGGACAGCCATAGAATCATAAGGTTGGAAGGGATCTTAGACCTACTCCAACCCCTGCTCAGTGCCGGATCCACTAAAACAGTGTTTCTCAACCTCAGCCATCTTAGCGTGGGCTTCAACTCCCAGAATCCCCCATCTAGCCAGAATCCTGGGAGTTGAAGTCCACACTTCTTAAAGTGGCTGAGGTTGAGAAACGCTGCACTAGAGCATCTTGGATCATTGATGTCTATTTTAGGACCTCTAGCCCAGGAGACAGCTTGTATGGCTAGGACGTTCCTCCTGATGTCCAGCCTGAACCTTCTTCCTTATCATTTTAACTCTTGGCTCTAGCCTTGCCTTCTGGAGCCCACTCCTTCTTCTCTGTGGCAACCCTTCAGATATTGGGAGACTTCTCCCATATCTCCCCTCGGCTGTCTCTTCTGTAGGCTAAGCAGACCTAGATGCTTTAATTGTTCCTCACCAGGCTGACTTGCTTTCACACTTTGATTCAAAGCATTGAGGAGTGGAGGAGAATCTGTTATTTTGACTTGAGGTAGTCCCTCCAATACGAATGTTGCTGAGAACCAAACTCCAACATTTTCCTCCTTTCAACAGAGGAAGTCTACGGCAGTGTTTCTCAAACCTGGCAACTTTAAGATGCCAGGCAGGCTGGGGAACTCTGGGAATTGGAGTCCACACATCTTAAAGTTGCCAAGTTTGAGAAACACTGATCTACAGGAAGGAGGCAGAAAGTGGGCAGGCCCCTGATCTTCCAGTGTGTCCTGCGTTAACTGTGTAAAATTGGGTAGGGTCCATGGAAATGCCCGTTGGCCCTAGAGAGGACACATCTGTCTTCCCTGATCCATGAGCTATTGTATATTTTGATTGTATCTGGACTTAGGGCTGTAATAAGCATGTGTGCTTCGCTGGGTTGGTTGTTCTGGTTTCTCCAATCCAGCCCTTTTTCCGGTAATGGCCCTGCAGATTATCTTTCCCAGAATGTGACACTTGGATCTCATATAGTCCTTTACAACTTCAGACAAAACCAGGTTTGTTCTCCCAGGGCTTTTAATATTATAGAATCACAAAATCTACCCCAATCCGTAAGCTGGGAAGGAGTCACAGATTCACAGAATGCATGAGTTGGAAGGGGTGGACTTCCACTCCCAGAATTCCCCAGCCAGCATGCTTCAATTCTGGGAGTTGAAGTCCAGACATCTTAAAATGGCTCAGGTTGAGAAACACTGCACTAAACCACCCCTGAATGTGGGCATCCAGCCCCTGTTTGAAAACCTCCACCAAGCCATGGGGGGATCTTCTGTACACCATCCTAGGCAGACTGCCATAGTGGTATGCGGGAATGACCTTGGGAGACAGGAGGAAGAGCCACAGACTAGACAACTGCCATGAAAAGTAAAGAAATGGAGAAGTACGACTTGCAAGATTGATGTCAGCCCTGCAAGGTAGTCCAGACAAGAAGCTGAACCAGGAGTCCTAGCTCTATCTTTACTGTGAGGTTACATTAACAGAATCTTGCAAGACTGAAAGTATTTCTCCCCTCCTCTTCTTTTACTCCCTGGAAAACTAGGGAGGGTCCCTTCTGAAATGCTTCGCACACCCCTTTTCCTTCTGTGGGCTGAGA